AGGGTTGATATCAACACACACACACACACACACACACACACTCAAATGCACCATCATCAAACACTAACACTAAACCGATGTGTCACCTTTCAGGTCAAACATCATCCCTTCTGCTAGCTTACTCCGGTGTTCTCTTTGGACACGGGTGTGTGTTTGTAGATTGTTTGCATGTTTAAAACTTCCCGTGGACACCTGCGTGTCAGAGACAAATAAAGCCACATCAATAATCTGAATCATATCAGTTCGTGATCTCTGACAAACCTGGGTTATTCAAAAAAATGGCACAATAGCGTATGGTTGTCTTAATCACTACTGCGATTACTTGCTCATTTCAGCTCAGAATTAAAATTCATGCACTGTATCACAGCAAGGAAGGGAATTAATCTGATTTCAATGTGAATCACTTTAGTGCCGCAGATCTGCTGAATCTAATCAGATTAATCAGATTACTTAAATATTTACACCAGCTCCTTTATATGTAATCCTGTCCTGATTTTCCTCTACGTCGTCATTCAAAACCTCCGTCGGATGGTAATTTTATATTTTGTTAATAAACGGTTGCTTCTCATTTTTCTGGTGATGCAGTTTTTATGAGTTCAAGGAGCCTTTTCAATTCCTTCTTTCATTATTTTTTTTAAATTAAAGAAGCATATAGAAGGAAGCAGGACAAAGCAAGAGTTTCATTATTGTGGAACGCTGCATGTATGTGTGTTTACGATTATGTGTTTGTGTGCATGGGTGTATTTAATTAAGCAATCTACCACCAACAAATCACTTGTTTTGAGTTCATTTGATTGAAATATAGAAATCATTATTTGAATGCATATGCAGCCAAGCGGCCACACGGGCTCCAAAAAGGGCCCAAAGTGGCTATCTAAATGATAAAATTACTTTTAAGCAAGTATCAAGAAACCCTCAAGGCATTTTTGTTGGATTTCTTAATAATACATTTTGTTTTATCAATTTAAATATAAAATTAGACTTCACTATACTTTTATTAATTTAAACTTAAGTCTCCAATGACAAATGGTCCTAAATGAACCAGATTAGGGTTCTTGGAGCCCTGATTTTAAGGTTCTGTAATAAACAATTGCAGGAAATTAAACCCCCAAACAAAGAACAATTTAAGCATATTCAAGGGTTCTAAATCAAAATCTAATTACTATTAATATCATGGTCACACTTTAGTTTGGAGACCAATTCTCACTGTTAACTAACTATCAACTACGAACTCCTAATTTGCTGCATATTAATTGTTATTAAGATAGTTGTTAAGTTTATGTATGGGATTAAGGGTTCTAAAATATGGACATGCAGAATAAGGCATTAATATGTGTTTTGTAAGTACTAATAAACAGCCAATATGCTAGTAATACGCATGGTAATAAGCAACTAGTTAATAGAGAGAATTGGTCCTTAAAATAAAGTGTTTCCAATATCATTAAAGAAACATATAATTAGGACAATTATTTATGTTTGTCCTAATGTTTGGGGATATTCCACTCAAAGTGAACTTACCCTCATTTCATTCCTGTCGAGTATGCCTTCCTTTCTTCCATAAAACACAAATGGGGATATTTTGAAAAATGTTCACACCGCTCTCTTCCACAGTGAAATAGTGACCAGAGACTGTCAAGGTCCTGAAAGAACACAAGTCATCATAAAACCATTATAAACGTAGCCAATACACTTTCTGAAGCCATTTGTGTGAGGAACTGAAACTCCCGGTCACCACTAGGGATGCCACAATTAATTTCCGTGCATTAAATCTCTCTCCGAATTGGCTCGGTTTGTGTGTCCATGAGTCTATGCGCTGAGATGAGCAAACGCCTCCCTGCTTATAACATTCATTTTTTAAAAGCAACACACGCCAAACATCTTCCCTTGTAATGACTTACAATGAGAAACGTTTCTAAACCTGTTGTCCAACAGAAGACAACATAATAGCATATTTTTACTCCACAACATCAGTTGAATGTTTGAAAAACTTACTTTTGTGATCTGATGTGCATGGCTTCTTATCACAGAATGAGGCAAAAAATATATTCTATACTATAATAAAGGCTATGTCGATTATAATGGATTAGAAATATACTTAATTATTACTAAAATACCCGAGATGGCTTGAAGAACACGGATAAACTATTCACTGTCACAGTCGACTGTTTATTTTCTTCATGTTTCATCGTTTAGAACGTTTCTATCTTCTTTTTGTCATCTTTGAGCGTCATAAGTTCTGTTACTTCTGTGATGCATATATGGAGTTTCTGCGCGAGGGCGCCCTCCGGCTACGGGTATGAATAAATAATGGCCAGTCCATCCTATTTTGGGCAAAAATAGGAAAAATAACACTTCTCTCAAAACAAATTTGAAGTAGATATATGATAATCCATGTTTTTCTCCAGTGTACAGAAGTATATAGAAGTTTTTTATTAAAGGGGTCATATGATGCGATTTAAATTTTTCCTTTCTCTTTGGAGTGTTACAAGCTCTTGGTGCATAAAGAAGATCTGTAAAGTTGCAAAGACTAAAGTCTCAAATCCAAAGAGATATTCTTTATAAAAGTTAAGAGTCAGCCACACCCACCTAAAACGGCTCGTTCTAACGCCCCCACATATCTACGTCACAATGTGGGAAGATTTGCATAACGCCACCCAAATGTTCACGCAAAGAAAGAAGGCGTAACTTTTATTCTCGCTGTAGTATTGTTGTTGCCGCCGCCGGCGCGATGCAACGCAATGCGTAAAAAGACAGTATAAGTCATTATAATCCGTAATTATGTCCCCACTGGATGCAACGAATGCCTCTTTATAATGGGTTTTCGTGTTTTTGAATCATGGCTCCGGCCTGACAGGGCATCATCACAATATGGTAGGGGCATAACATTTCCGTCACACGCTTGAGGTATTCGGCCAATCATAATGCACCAATCATAACGCGTTTCAGAAAGGCGGGGCATAGAGGAGAAACAATAATGTACAGTATGTGGAAAATAATGTGTTTTTTGAACCTTAAACTGCATAAACACATTTCATTACACCAAATACACAAAATAATGTTCTTTTTAGCAACATCATATGACCCCTTTAATTTGTTTTAATAATCACATTTTAAAATCGCAAAAAAAAACGAACCGAACCGAACCGAAAACCGTGGTTAAAAAAGGTATTGAACCTTGCCGGGCTAACTTTATTGTTGCACCCCTAGTCACCATTCACTTAAAATGTATGCAATAGATCTGACTGGACATTCTGCGTCTTATGAGGTCTAAAAGGAGAAATGAAGTCATATGGTTTGGAATGACATGAAAGTGAGTAAATGATGATGTTATTTTTTGTTTTTTTTTGCAGGGTTAACTATTCTTCTGAGGAACCTTTTGTTTTTAAAGTGAATGTACGACACTGCAGACAGTGAACATCGGTCAACCAGTGAACTTAGACCCACTTTATACTGTTTTCTCCTGCTCTCCCTGTCGTTAACTGATTTCTGTGTAACTAAAGATTTGAAGCTGAGGGATTTGGAGGAGGGGGACAAAAGAGAGGGAACGAATTAAAGATATAATTGAAAAGGTAGAGAAGCGCAGGGTGCATAATATAATACCATCTAAATGAGGCTTAATATAAATAGAGGACCAGGCAAAGAGCGGCAGTACAAAAGAGACTCCTAAATAAATCAGCGAGGTATTTTCAGAGTGTTGGTGGCGATGAATCCACCAATGAGCCGCGTGTTTTATTTCAAGTATGGTAATGAGAAGAGTCTGTGTTTGGTCTCTTTTTCATCACCGACGTCACCAAAGGCAAGTCTCGCAGGTCACACACACTCGCAATTGCGCATTTCATGAGACAGACAGATGTTCTCGAGAGCAATTGAGTGGAGATGCATATCAGAACAGAGGAAGAGTGTATGAACATATAAAGAGGAAGTCGTAACGAATCCAATCTAATGGAATCTTGAGGAGCTTAGGATGAGTCATGAAACATTCCCATATACAAAAACAGAGCAGCACATTCAAACATATTCTGAGATTCAAAACACACACACACACACACACACACACACACACACATGTGCCCAGCACATACAGCAAACCATTGGTACCGAACTGTACCAATGATTAGTGGTGAAATTGTTTCTTCTTTCTTTCTGCTTCTTGAACAGAAAGCGATTGAATGCGAGCCACAGAGCCTGCGGAGTTCACAGAGCACGCAGCCCTCTGTGTCTCATAGATAGAGCACAAACATTCTTTTAATTACATCCATTATTTGCTATTATTGTTCTGAACATTAGCAAGTAGAGAACAGCAACTTAAAGCCAATTCATTGAAAACAACGACACATCTCTCTCACACAATCAAGTCAATGCTGGTGAAGTGAAGCAGAGGCATGTGTATCACTACTGACCTCTGCTGGTCAAAAGTGGAAACTATATCATTAATTTTACAAATTTAAATAAATTTAAACATAAATTCTTAATACTAAATGAAAAACTAAATAAAAAGATTATTAAATGTATTCAATTATTACAGTTATTTATTAAATGTATTTATTAAAAATTAAATTATGGAGCATTGATAATTAACTCAACTAAATTCTTAATACTAAATTAAAAACGAAAAAAAAAAAACATTGTGGAATATTTAAAAAATAAATATGATTTCTTGATAAAAATATTTGCTGCGATTAATTTTCACAATTTATGACAAAACAGCAAAACACAAATATTAAGAATTAGCTCTCAGACTAAACAGAAAACATTAAAGTAATATATAATTAAATAACGGTAATGTTGACTCTAAAGGTGTGTGCTAACCTAATGCTAACATTATGTTTGTTGTGGCACAACTGTTAGGAGACACGTAGCCTATTGTGTGTGCTGTTCACATGTATTGCCTATGCCACTTGGATCCAGTCTCAGGTAGCCATCCTCCAGTGAGCTGAACCCAGTTAAGCCTCCCATAGCCACATAAGGAACAGCTCTGCCCACCGGATGACCCCGTGCCATGCGCTCTTCCCTGGTTTCAACCAGCATCACATGGGCATATCCAGGCTGACCACATCCGCAGGTAAATGGACTTCGATAGCCAGTGCAGTGAGTGCCTGGAAGTAAACAGGTTTATTTTAAGATCCGTTTTTATGTTTTATTAAATGCTTATGTGTAACATGATGAATTATGTAAGCTTTCAATTAATAATAGGGGATGCAATGGTGCAAAACTCACATTTCTTGCACTGGTGCCCTATAGTTTCACTGTGCTCAGTGGTTGTGTGTTTGCATTGGCAGCGTACTGCCTTAGAACCATTGATATGAACGTATTTATAAGATACACATTGACAACCTTTGACCCTGCAGGTCAAGAGTATAGGCCTTTCCTTTGGCAACACCTCAAAGTCTGTGCAATGTTGTTTATACCTGAGAATGAAATAGAATTATTGAAGAATCAGTTTGTGTACGCGTGTATACATCAATAATGTATATTACTGGTGATCCATACCTGTGTGTACAGAAGCAAGGTGTCTCTGGTCCAATGAGTTTGCAGTCTATCTGTCCCAGGACGCCAAAACTGACATAAAGGCGGTTCTGTATTCTTCTTGGCACCACTGTCTCTTTGTATTTCTTGTACTCTTCCTCTGAAAACAGCCTCCCTCCATCATCTTCCTCAACAATCCTTTGCAAAACAGGATATTCAGTGATAGAGAATTACACGTTTTCAAACATGCCAAGCTTCAGCTACAAAGGGATGTACAAAAAAAAAATTATAAAGAAATCTTTTTTTTTTTTTTGCATTGACCACGTGAATAGACGTTAGTTACACCGATTTCCCCAAACAAACCCACCTTCTATATTCTAAATAGACCTCCAATGCATTGGTTGCATGTTTGTCGACAAATATCTTTTCCATTCCACTGTGATTGTGACTCTTTTTTCGTAGTTTTGTCTGTTAATATAAACAAGTACTCGAGCGGCAACGCTTGTTTGTAGTGAAGGTTGTTCTTGGCGTCTGTGTTTCTAGGCAACGACGAAACAACAGTGATCAGCTTTCCCTAAATGTAAAAATCCAATCAGTAATATCTAATACACACTCACAACAATTTTAATGTATCTCGACTACGTTTGTACCTGTGAACTACATTTCCCATGCTGCCTATGGACTTTTAAGGGATTGACGCGAGTCAGACTCATATCAGAGAATCGTTTCCTTCAAACAGTTCTTTTCTAAAATGATTCAGTGATTCTTATGTTATAACGTAGTTTGCTCGGTCGCACTGTCATAATTAATATATTTTGGGAAAAAAAGTATATACTATAAAACATTCCAGAAAATACGCAGGCCCATACAACTGTCTATTGCGTTTTTCAGTGTATTAACAAAGGTGTTCATTGTAATGACATGCTCATAAAACATACAGTAATTTGGAACCTAAATATAATTTGCATCATCAGTAAATCATTCTTTTTTTCTGACTGAAAACTGCTCGAACTGATTCGTAAAAAAAATCGCTCAGTCTAGTGTGAGAGATTTATGAACTGATTCATTGAAAAGATTCGACCCAAAAGAACAATTCATTCACAACCGGACATCGCTGGTGCGTGTCGTGACGTCGTACGCAATAGCTCGTGTGGTCACCACAGGGAATTACTACTGAACAATTTTCTGTATTAGTTCCTAGTTTCACTACACCAGGTGGCTCCGAATGATAATCTGGCATTTATTTTAAGGCGTTAACGTTACCTCTAAAATAATTAGCTTCTTACTTAATACAGAGACGCCTGTTTTGAAGTTATGCTGCAGTTTGAATATTGTTTTAATATTACTGATTTTTTAAGATAGCAAACGTGCTAAGAAGATGTCAACAATGTGGAGTCTACAAACCTGTCATCTTGACCAAAGTATTTAAGGTAATTTCTATATTAGCTATGTTACCGTAGCAGTTTCATCAGGCTGTTCCAGCTGTTCAATAACGTTACCTTTCAAGCTCGGCCCTGTCTTAAAGAGATAGGTGTGCAATCGTACAGTTGATTTCGTTGAGCTGCTTAATATCAGTCTGCAGACCTTGAGAACCGAGTAAAAAAGATAAAACAAGCATGTGTAGACGCATGATATGAGTTCAGCCAGAATGCTGAAAGCTGTTTGGTTTTTATATATTGGCTTATACTGCATGCCTAATATCAGGTCCTGTTTTTCTGTTAATGCCAACCTTTTCTCCAAGACAGTATCATTACAGCAGCTTTATGATGACATCAACAGTTAAACTGAGTCAACTCTCTAACATTGTTTAACTAATAATCACGATCTTTTCAGCAAAGGCATGATATGTCTGACCTCAGAGCTTTAACCCAGATTTGTGCTGTGATTCCCATCTTAAATTTAATGTGACTATACTTTTGACAGCTTTTCAACTGAAAACAATAGTTTGACAGGGTGGAGCACACAGTGTAAATCCCTTGTACTTTGGTCAGTCTTTGATAATAACAGTCACAAGATTGATTTAATCTTGACTAATATTATCAATATGCATACTACATTTTAACTTTACTAATATTGTTTTGCTGTTTCTGTGGGGATGTGATGATTGGTCATATTTGATCATAAGTGGTAATTTCTCCCTCCTGCATTTTAATTTTAATTTGCATTTAATTTATCTAAAGCACCGTCTCATTGAGTGATTTGTGATTGGTTGGAGAATAGCACTATGACCACTGAGAAAAAGTGTGATGACACGGCTTCTATTCACTTAACAATGGAAATGTAATTTATTCATACAAACTGAAATCTTAGGCTTTGCATATTAACTGCAACTACAACTATTTAATATGATTAATCTCACAAATTTCTGCGTGTGTGTTGTATTTTACAGGTACATCTGGCACCTGACGCCAATTCAGCAATAGACAATTACTTCCATGCTGTTAATTTCCTAGTAAAAACGGCTAAACAAATGCATGAGATCAGTGACCTTATTACGGGATCTTCTGCCCATTCCTAATTTTAACCTCCACTCTGCTTTTTCACGACTTAATTATTCCCAGCCCTGAACCTGACACCCTCTTATAAACCTGTCCCCACCCCATCCCCTTAACCCGGGTCCCATCAGACCTGCAGCATTGCCATGCTGGGCTGTCTGCTGCGTAGGAGCATGTCTCACAGACTGAGTGTGTTTCTGGTGGTCTTCGGCCTGGCCTGGTGTCTGCTGCTGCTTCACTACACCATCACACAACCACAGCGCCAGAGCAGCGCAGAGCTCCGCCAACAGATCCTCGAGCTCAGCCATCGCTATGTCAAAGTGCTTAGCGAGGAGAACCAGAACCCTTCAGGGCCCCATGGCACCTCCATGGCAGGATATGGTAAGAATTTATTATTCTATTCATTATTTAACCACCCTCCCGTCGTTCCTAACTTGTCTGCTGTTTTATAATGCTAAAAGGCACAACAAATGTATCATAAAAACAGTCCATATGACTTTCACAAAAGTCAAACAATAATTTTGTGTGATGAAATGACCAAAATTGATGTCTATAGCAAAGGTTATCATGTGTATTTTAACCAAACAAAATTGTGCAGTTTTAACTTGTTACCTGAGCTTAGAAATTTCTTTACATTTTACAACAAGATTCAATACATTTACATTAGTTAGTGCAATAGTTGTCGTGAACAATGAAAAATATTTTTATTGTAGCATTTACAAATGTTAATGTTTTTTGTTCATAAAATATTAACTAATGTTAATTTTCACAACTTAACAGTAGTTAATGTGTTAACTAATGTGAACTAACAATTAAAACATTTACAACATTTATTAATCTTGTTTTCATTTATTAACGTTAGTAATTAAAAATAAAAGTTTAATGTCGATGTAATGAACAACTGTATTTTTTATTAACTAACATTAACAAAGATTAATACATTTTGAAAAAAAGCTCATTAAATGAAAAAAAAATATTTTTAGTAACTAACACTTACAAATGTTGTAAAAAAAATATATTGCTCATTGTTAGTTCACATTATATTTGTGCTGTGAACAAATATAATGAACTCCAGTGTTTATACAACTTTTGATTTTAAAAATTAACATAAAAAAATAATGAGGGCTGTAGAAATACTGTTTTATTTTGTTAACTTTGTAGTTGTCAAATGTTTACAAATGAAACCTTATTGTAAATTGTTATCTAAATTCTTTTACATTCTTTTATAAAATATAAACACTTTTATTCGTGTTTTTTTTTTTTTTTTTTTGTGAAGTGTATGTGAATGAATGGCCTGCTTAGCATTCAGGGAGGGTGTGGTAGAAAGAGGTTTAGAAATAACATAATACTAATCCTTGCCTTATCTCTTGTTCTGCTGAAGCTGACTTGAAGAGGACAATTGCTGTGCTGTTAGATGATATTCTCAGCCGTTTGATGAAAGTGGAGGCTGCTGTGAATGCCTCCATACAGAACATCTCCCATCCTGCTGCTGGTGCCGGCACTCTCCTTGCTGCCAGAGTCACTGTTTCCAGGTCCACCAAACAAAATTTGTCTGCCCACCGGCCAGAGAGACATAGTAACCCTCTGCACTTCCTGTCACAATCACATGACAGGTCACATAAGCCGCACTCTTTGAAATAG